GACGGCGCAGTGACGGCTGCAGTCCGCTTGCCGTCATGTCCGGACGTACTGTGGTAGGGCAGGTGGTAGAGAAGGTGGTGTATTGCGTTCCGACCCGGCAGGCTGGTTCTGACCCAGCGGGGTATCCCGGAACACCAGCGGTCTGATAGGCCGCCGCACCACGTCAAAATCCTCGTTATAAGATGCTAAAAAGTTGTTCAATGGCATTTGATCGTAGAAGATTTCACTATATTTTTTTAAATATTTCCTCTTTTTAATTATTTTATTTACCTATTACTATATTATCTAGTATCCTGTTCTCAGACAATGTGCGTATCAATTCAATGTGTTATCAATATTTTTATCAGCAAAGCGGTTAGCGGCAACCGGAGTCCATTATATAGACGCCACGGAGTATATTCCTCCGACCGCTTTTCAATTAGCTCGAAACCGAAATTTATACATGAGTGGAGACTATGCATCTGCATAAAATAAATAAGTCAAAACGTAATCTTAATTTCCATCACAATCCAAAGGTACATATGCTCTCAGTCATTTCTTTAATTAAAATATAATGGATGGTGTTGAGTATGCGTTATATTTAAGTCTACTCATCTCTAACAGTGAACGGCCTACGGATTCCGTCTCATGTCTACTTCCTACTCCTAATTAGGGACAATCCGTCCGTGAACTATACAATAACCTATCTAACGTCTTGCTGTTATCCAGTGCTGTGACTAACAACTGCCACAAACGGCCACAGTCTTCCATTATGTATTAATATGAGATATATTATCTTTATCAACTATCGTCACCAGGTATACGCGTTTGTATTTTATATATGAGATCTGTACATTGCACATTTTAATGTCGTCTTGTGTAATTGGTTATTATATTATTAGAAACAACTATCATATAATTCCTTTTCATAGAAGAAAGCCTGGAGGGATGGCTGTTAACAAAGTATTGTTGGACACATTTTCATTGTCATTATTTGTTTGACTTTTTGTAATTTATTTGTGGTATTTCAACAAAGAGCTTTATTATATATAATGTATTATTTTATTTATATCAAAATGCAGTTTATCTTGGTAAAATTATAGCACAAATTGAGTTGCTCTTATGAAGAGAAACAACATTTAAAGCTATTGCTTCACCACTATTTTTATATCTTTTTATATTTTAATATTTCAAAAATGCTTTTTATATTTCTAATGTTCTATCTAATGTTCTAATGTTTCAATATTCGAAATTCTATTTATGTCATCTAAAGATGAATGTTATAAATAACATATTAACCTCTTTTAAGATTAATCGTATAGAGGTTACATATATTCTACTCAAATGGAGGGTTGTATATTTGTAAATATATTGTATTATCCGACGAGTTAATGTCAACTTGATACCAGATTGTCATCGCAATCCATAAAGACAACAAGGTGAGCAGCGCTGCGCACCTTGGCACATGAGGTCGTTGTTCACTGAGCTTATTGCAATTATGTCTATTATATCCTTCTACTATCTACTACTTGAGTGGCAATATATCGTTCAAACACCTTAAACTCAAGATCGGGGCCGCCAATCTACGACAGTGGCTCTGGAAGTGGCGCATCGACATCAACCCCACGAAAAGCACAGCCAAGTTCTTCAAATGAGGTCGCCCTTTCGACACCACTGCAAATGTCTTATCCCGTATTAGGTAGCTGTATTATCGTCATAAGCATCTTTGGCCGCCCATACTCTGAGCCGCTAAGGTCACGTATAGGGGACATCCTCGACAGAAGGATGACATGCTGTCCCTACGTAAAGCCCGTCGACGGCCGAATCGAGTCTATTCCATCATCTGTAAAGCAGCAAAAAAACAAAATAAAATAATATCCTTTCCGTTTCGTCACTTGTGCAAGTGTAGTGATCCCTCGCGCGGCCCACAACCATATAAACATCTCGATCAGAGCGCCGCGATATGTAGAGAATAGAGAGCTTCTTGACGATCTTCACGAACTGCAATTAGAATCGAAACGTAATGTATGTGAAGAAAATATCAGAACGCTTCATTGAAAAACCGGCACGACACCATAACCCTCTATCGTGGCCACATCTAGCTACATATCCGACTCAGGCGACAGGGCAACGAAAAGCCGCCGTCGCCCAAAGCTTATCTTATTCTCCTGATCCACTCTCGGTGCTTTTGCAATTCTGATCCGATGGTAGATTCAGCGAAGCACTACTGTTTCTAGGGTTAGTATTAGCAAATTCTCTCAGGTTGAGCTCCGTCAGCTACCGGTCCGCGCATAGCTAGAATAGCCTCTTAGGCTACCAGCAATTAGGTAGAGAAAGAAGTGCTCCTAGTGTATAGATTGTCGCGTTTGTTGACCGCGAGAGCCATTAAATTCCCACTGTTTGACCGAAAATATATTCAAAGGGAATAAAAATACAAAGGGTCGAATAAAATAAATTCAGCGAAATTTTTGTTCAATTTATATTTCACGTGACATGTCTCTTGTTTACTTTCAAATTAGTAGCCTCGCCAATGATTGGACACAAAATATTGTTGGTCGAATGTTCATTTACGTTCGTCACTTCTTAACCGCTGGCGCTTCAGTAGTGATGGGATAGCAACGAGTCAAACTTAATAATAACTCAATGAAGTGTTTTTGTGCATATTAATTTAGAATTACTTCATTAACGCAATAACCCAAGTAGATGCTGTCTAGGTCTGTTTCAAAAGAAACAAAGAGAAAGCTAAACTGAAAAATAAAAATAAGGATAGCTCATTTAAATACATAAAATAGCTTTTGGCGTGCCTAAAAGCATATAAAGATCATTTTCTGGAAGAGTGTTGCATGCTGTAAGTGTTTGGAGCTTTTATTATCAGTTGCTGTTATGTTTCTACTACGAATTTTTGCACTGCAAATGGATTTCCGATGTGACTTGTGTATGAGCAGTCTAAAAACTTGTCACGATCTTATATAGTTACGGCATACTACAGTAACTGGTCGAAGGAGAACGCAAAAAATAATCATAAATAAATCATATACTGGTAGGTACATCGTAATCAATGTTATGTAAAAAAAGTCTTTATAACATTAATAATCTTTTTTCAAAAGCTTTACCAACTAAGCAGCAACGGGAGCATAAAACATGTATTATACACACTTAGATGGGTTTGAAACTAGTGAACACAGGCGGCGGCTTCCCGTGACTTTGTGGAAAATAAACAAGGTTTAGAAAGACTTTATTTTAAAATAAATAAATATCATTTTAGCATGAGAAATGAAATAACATAAAACAGATGTGTGATATATATCGTTCAGCTCGTGTTTCATTGTTGCCGTCTCTACATATCCGGAGTAATGGGCGAGTGATTTTTATCTTTTTCATATTATGAATTATGGGCTTGATGTTAGCGGAAATAAAACTAACACATAATCCATTATGTATTATTTAAAAGAGACGTATCTCTTGGTTACCCTGTTGGAACGGATTTCTTTCTGCTTGGTCTTTTTTGTGTTTGTATTAAGTAATGATTAATAAAATATAAAGAGTCAGTCATTCATGATATTATTAAATGAATAATATGCGAATAAAGCTGGTATCACAGGCAATTTTTTGAAATATTAGTGAAAAATATATATTAATTTACTCATTATTTATTATAGATATTAATTAAGTTTACATATTGTCAAAATTGACGGCTAGCAGTTACACTTTCCTATGTGGCCGTGAAGTACCTCAAAAATCACTACAAAAAGATGTCGTAGTAAAATTTTTCCGGTCTAACTCTTCGGAGCGCTGACAAAAACGTAAACGATAAGGGACTCCGTTCTAAAAACAGGAAACAGGAACAACATTTGTTTGTTCTAAAGTTCTGATTTTGAGTGAGTGAGGGCGTCGACGACATTCTTAGAAGGCGCTGCGTGGTCGGTGAGTTTTTCACATAGAGCGTCTCAACCGCAGTAGCTGCAACACCCATAGACACATCCCACTGAGTTTCTCGCCGGATCTTCTCAGTGAGTCGCGTTTCCGATCCGGTTGTAGATTCTGCGAAGCACGGCTCTTGATAGGGTTCGTGTTAGCAACGTCGTCAGGTTTGAGCCTCGTGAGCTGACCTACACGTCAAGGTGAAGCTGAAATAGCTTTTCAAGGCTGTCAGCATAGGTAGTATAAAAAAAAGGAGCTACAAATACAATCTTTTTTACCTTACTATCAAACTTAACATCTAACAATTTATTTCAAATTTCGATCGTTATCCACAAATTTGGATTAATTTAATAATATGTAATTTTTGTTATGTTTAAATTATCTCCATTATTCCAAGAGAAAATATGTTTTTGTTCGTGACTCTTCAATTCGTACTCGGATGGTGGTTATTGAGTTGCACTCTGTTGGTTTGGACTTCCCATCACTACTGAAGTACTTATCGATTGGTGTATTAGTTCACGCGTGACGTAGTCATTTAGAAGGTGATAAAACGACGTTCGGACATTGATGTACCAACGTTTCTAGCTCTTCTGTCTCTGTCTTATATGTACACGTTCTTGTACACAGAGCTGATTGAGGGCTCTTTTGTTAGATCATTTTGTGGGAAATTATATTCAACTGTAATTTCTAGTAGTAGTAAAGTGTTCCTTGGTGTGTGTTTTTAAATTGTTTACAGATTTTATTCTGTTGTGCTTGACAATTTTGAGTTTTGTGAACTTTAGTGTATTATTTCGGTACAATCGCAAAGACACGTTATGTGTTGTTGTGGTATTTTTAAACATTCCCAGTACAAGTTGTATGCGCTAGTGTGGTATTTAGTTAAATATTTAGTGATTGATCAATCTGACCCAGATACCACAATGCGTTTGATAAGGAAACGAGGCTAAAGTTAGAGCACACAAATGAACAGGCGCATACGGAGTACGTGTTTAGTTGATAAGAGATGCGCGTGCAGGTGAGTCGTAGCGTCATCTTAGCGGCTGCCGGTGATGACGTTCTTATCAGCGGTTATCATCCGCCGCGGCTCAGTCGCACGCACTTGTCCGTGGCGCGCGCACGCCGCTCGTGGCGCCCCCACCTTCACGACGCGGTAAGCATTCACTCCTCCCGACCCCGACGCCGCGACGGTCCATCCCGCTACTACGCCATGCTCCTTCTTACTTCCTTCTCATCCATCAACTTCGAACGCACGCTTTGTCGTACAGTTTTTTGGTTATTTTGTGATTTTTCTTCGTCAGTGAGTCACGGTGGAAAAGTATCAAGGTCGACTGATCCTAATGTAAATTTGTGCCTCAGTCTTAATGTATCAAAGTGGATATCCTTATCGCGTCGAGATGATGCCGACGCCGGCGACGCGCCTAGTTGAGTTTCTCGAAAAATACATAATTTCGTCATTGTGTCTGAAAGGATAAACACCGCGCGCCGAAATCAGTGCCAATAGGTTCTCGTGATAGTAGGCTAGCGAGCGCCGCGCGAGGTCTAAGTAGGTACGTTACGTTTGTTTAAAATTCAATTTGGAGCCGACGAGTCAATGTCGTCGTTACGAAATCACGGTGCGCGGGCTGTTTTCATTTTTTACACGTGAAACAGGTTTATTGTAGTAAGAGTTTGGAGAACGATTCATCTCAATCGAGCGTGAACGGCGTTAGTAGTCGGTTTGTTTGTGTGTGGCCCGAACAGCTGTTTGTTGGCTCGCTCAGTGGTCGCACGCACACAGCGGCGCGCGGACACTTCACTCACTTGTGTACTCGTTCGTACATTAAAAGGCTTACTTCGAGAAGGTCCCCACGCGCACATGCACACACGCACGCTCCTATGGATTACTGATTTCTGTGTGTTTACAAGCCTACGTCAGTAATGTTACGTCACCTGAAAAAATGTGTAAATGTTCCATAATGAAAAACCTATGTATGCAAATGAACTTAAAATAAGTTTGGTGATTTGTTCCCCGCAAAATTTTGCGTTGAGGTTCCTTATAACGGCGATAAGTATCGGATTTTGTAAAATGATTTATCTACAATATCTTTCTTTAGTTTTGCATAAATACTTTAAAATTAATAGCTTTAGAACATTTGAACAAAACAATGGTTTCATGGAAAACAATCGTGTACAGTAATAATCTTATACAAAATACGTGTCATTAAAATTCTAGATGGCTATTCTTTAATACCAGCTCATATTTAATAATTTACTGTAACAGAAAGTGTGAACTGAGGTAAAAATGCGCATTAGTTTTTCGTGATATCTCATCTATGTTATGCTATTCTATATTCATCTATGTTGTATTATTTATTACTGCTTATTTTTCTGCGATATAATCCGGTATTCTAATAATATAGAAGTAGGTATTTAATGCTCTCAGTCGTCATGGTAGAACGAGCAAGACGCCCGGTGTACTCGTATGAAGCGATCCGACTATGCCGCTATTAAGATCTCACGGGCAGGTACCAATTTTCTATGGAAATACTTACTTCTCAAGTATCCACAAACGACTTCCACGATGAAGGAATGACGTCGTGTAGCAGAGATCAACTTCTGTCGATTATCCTATGCCCTTATAATATGATCACATTAATCAAGAGGACATTCATCGCGAGATACGTTTCAACATCTAATTTATACCAAATATTAAATGAAGACAAGAAGGCTGCACTCCCTTCAAGGTTATAAGTTCAAGTTACTAAGTCTTTATTTTAGAGGGCTACGTATCATCAGAACAAGATCATACAAAACATGCAGCTACACCTTGTGCCAAAAATATAGATTCGTGCAACAAGATAAGCTGGCTAGTTAAATGTCAATAATTATTTAATAGATACGACTGTCTGGGAATCTTGGCTTTCATTCTATTTAAATAAACATTTTAAGAATATTACTTATTAATATTGAAGTCATTGTTTATTTGGTAAGTAGAAATTGAAGTGAAACAATGTAAAAGTCTGGCTATATTTGTTTCGTTGGTTCTGCTCGTGACGTGTCTATTTTTAGAGATAATCTAGTTCGTATGTTTACTTTGACATTGAACAAGTTAGTTGGATGACAATAGATTTGATTATTTAGATGAACGACATAACGACATTCGCCTTTTGATTGTTGAATTCAGTACCGCATTGGGCCCCGGGCGAGATCGTGGTATCCACCGGCATCAAAGCACAGAATGTAAATCCTTGTCTTTAACAACCCTAACATGGAGACTATATGCTAATTATGAAATTGAAAAGCTATGTCAGGATTATTTGATAGGTTTCAGTTTAATTTTTAAATGTTTAATTCTTAGATTTGTGTCTTTCTTATTAAAATTCGTCATAGTTTCTCGGATACTTGTTGTGCGGTTTTTTAAGTACCTATTTGATGTACCAATGCTCATTATTAGCATTACTTATTGATCGTTAATTAAGAGTGGTCATTCAGAGTTATACTCTGTGTTAAGTAAATACAATTAGAATACATAATGAAATAAAAAAAAAACATTACATTTGAATTTGGAATCTAATATTCCCATATAAATATTCAATGTGCTTCTCATTTTCACACCGATCTTTGTTAAAATATATTAGCAACTGGCTATCCGGTTGGATTTAGTCGAATGTTAGTGTACCCAGTTATTGAAACGTTCTCTGCTTACACTGACCAGATTCGGTTTCCTGGCATTTTGTTACAAGTCAATGGGGTTTTAACTTAATATTAAATGACCGTAATTATTTCTGAATTGACCGTTTAAAAGTTGATTTTGCCATTCTTCTTCTTGTTAGTCGTTACACGCTTGATAGAATAGTTCTGGTCGTCATGTAGCATTAGAAAGCACAGATGAGACGCACCTCACGATGTCCCACTATGTCTCCCTGTTCGAGAGTTTTGACAACGCAACGAATTAAAGTGTGTCTTCTATCTTTAAAATAAATACCTACAACGAAATCAGATTTAGATAAAAACATTTTTTCATAATAGAAGCTATTAAAGGGTTAGTTTACGGCTGGGCAGCCTCAAGATAGTAATATACTAGTAGTGCGCTGGCGCTATGACCCCGAAGTGGGTCTTGGCCTCCGACAATAAGCGCCGTCATTCATCACGGCGCTGCGCAACACCTTGCCAGTCCGGCGCTTGTAACACGCGTAAATCCCCTTCCACAGTGTGATACCAACGGTACTTGAGCCAAGCCTCCATATGGGGCGGCGTCTCTCTGGTACACCCGCGTAGACCCATCCTGCTCCATCCGCACTACATGCCCGAGCCATCTGAGTCTTTATCTGGGCCTTCATCTTCCTCAGAATATTATTTTTACTCTCTCCCCATATTTATTTTTTCGGACGCGACTAGAACCGTCATCTCTCTGAATTGGTCCTAATCCTTAGTACTAGTCAACGGTAGGCAGCGGCTAGGCTCTGCCCCTGGCATTGCTGAAGTCCATGGACGACGGTAACCACTCACCATCAGGTGGGCCGTATGCTCGTCTGCTTATAGAGCAATAAAAAAACCTTTTGTAGGAGTGAGAAGTTTTGTCTTAACAAGACAGTGATATGGACCCCTCATAATTCTGCTCGACTCTCTGTTCACTCTCCGACTCTCCGCGTAACTGAGGTGCTTAGGCGGTGTTTAACTCTCACACTACCTGATCGCACCCAGGGAGTCAAGTGAAGAACTCGCATTTCCTTCCGCCTCAAAAAAGAAGTTTACCATGCATATCTATACAAAAGTATAGTGAAAATACGAAAAAAAAACATCAAATTAACGATGACGATGTAAATTGAGCCCACCAATATAGGTGGATTGTTTTTCATTGCATTTCAATTTTTATTTATGATTGGCAGTGGTTCAATGTCAACATTGTTAATAACAGTATAAGTTGTCATGCCATTTGAAGCCCTGTGTTGGCTACCTATACTGTTTCAGGATCTACTAGTTTTTTTGAATGAAATCGATACGCTTCTTGAGACCTTCGCACAAATTCACGAACATTAACATTACGGACCACATTTTCCGCTTCATAGTAATGTGAACTAAATGACATGAGGGAAAACCTTTCTCCTAGTTAGCCTGCCTAGGACCACACCCTAATTGCTTTACAGTGGCATCGAACCTCGAATATGATACACATACACATGTATTCTAGTTTAAAGTGTATTCACGCTAGTGAACTAAACACATAGTATTACTAAGTTGATTCCTTTACCTACTGAATGACATTTTGACGTGTGTGGGACCACCCACCGCCGCACATGTGTCAACATTGCGGGATATCATAAAGCTGGTACATTTCAACTCCACATTAAGTAATTCCCGGGTGTGTTTACGAATTTTCTACGTATCCCGAGCATTAGAATTTCAAAACAATGTTTCCATTCGCTTGGGGTGCCGATGTAAATATATACCTATATTTCGTAAAATTGTTATGTGCAAATATCAACAGTGACTTTGTAACCTGTAAATTTGCGTCTGCTTACATACTGCTAAGTTTTATTTTATATTATATCCATTATATATACACACGTATATTCGAAAGATTATCTTGATAGGATCTAAAATGAAGATGGTTAGATTGTTTTTATTTTATTTTTTTATTGCTTAGATGGGTGGACGAACTCATAGTCCACCTAGTGTTAAGTGGTTACTGGAGCCTACAGACATCTAAAACGTAAATACGCCACCCACCTTGAGATATAAGTTCTAAGGTATCAAGTATATATACAACGGCTGCCCCACCCTTCAAGCCGAAGCATTACTGCTTCACGGCAGAAATAGGCAGGGTGGTGGTACATATAATTTTGCGGGTTTGATTTTTATTACACGATGTTATTCCTTCAGCATGGAAGTCAATCGTGAACATTTGTTGAGTACGTATTTCATTAGAAAAATTGGTACTCGCCTGAGATTCGAACGCCGCCGCGTCGGTGCATCGCTCAACGCGAATGCACCGAACTTCTTATCCTTTAGACCACGACGACTTCGATTGTTCAACGATTGTTCAAGTAATCACCCCAATGAAAGGTACAGGAACTACGTTGACATTATATAATCTTTTTAACAAAAACCTATCCACCAGTAGTTGCCGAAAGCATGACCAAAAATATATTTCCGCCGAATCTTTGGTGTGACGTGTCGAAATCAATTGATCTATAACCACTTTGTTTTCGGAGATGAATACACTAAAGTAGATTTCCACCCCTCCTGGCTGAGCCTTTGCTCACCCACCTGTCCTGGTGAAACTGGAAAGGCCTCCGGGCCACTAGTAATCCTTCAATCATAAAAAATAAAAAAAATAAAATAAAGTAGATTTATTCGTATGTACAAAATATCAATAATAAATAGTAAGTAGCAAGTAAATTGTTGTGCTGTATGATACTAAATCATTACGAACGATGTACTTCGTTTTGACGTAATGCAGTTTTATTGTGTCTCAATTACATATAAAACATGATATTTATGAGACATTAAAGTGTCGTGTCTATTCAGCAGCAACACGGAGACCGTGACCATGAGAACTGTAAGT